GATCCTTCCCTGTATGGATTCAGAAGTTTGTATTTTGATTACTGTTAGGGCCTCTATAGTAATTTAGAAGGTTTTAGCTATGAAACACTGTGCATTTTAGTGAACAAGGCTCTGAAGCTACTGCTATGTCTAATTAATCTAGAAAAACCTACAGAAACATTCAAGATGGTCACTGTCCATCTGACAGTACATTTGAGTTTCTTAACTGTTTCCTGGACAAGATTCTCTGGCAATTATAGCACTCTCCCAGTTCAAGCAGTTTTCTTGTTTTATTTGTAAATACAAGGAACTGATAAATCAAACATCTCTAACACTAAGAGAGTCACTCAATATTATTCTGAAAGTTTGTTTTGATTCTTCAAGGGGGGGTTAACTAGATTTTTTGGGGTTGGGGTTGGGTTGGGTTTTTTTTTGAGGCAGAGAAAAAGGCTCATCCTCAGTGCTGTATATGGAGGTTAATCATTCATGTTCTTTCACTACCAGTGTTCAACTTGAAACTGAAAGCACACAAATATTTAAATGCCTAAGAGGGAAAATAAAGTACTTGATAGACTTGCACAACAGATTCAAAACTAGCCTTGACTAACCACAACTGGGAAACACACAGAAATGCATAATATCCAGTAATCACAAGAATTGTCTTTGCACTCCTAGTCTGGCTCTCTGAAATGCACAGTGTGCGTGCAACAGCCTTGAGAGAATAAAAAGGACAATGCTGTGACCAGGTAAGCCAAAGATTAATGTTAAAGGATCACCTCATTTTCCCCTTACCCATGGTACTCTTATTTACCACCATGCTCTGAGCAAAGGATCACCTGGCCCTCTTGAATGAGTGCCCATATAGGAAACAGATTAAAGATGACCACACACTTTCAACAGACAGATCTGATGAAGATTCAGTGTGGTATAATAATAACCATTATCCTTACTGGATTGCTACAGTTTGGGCTCAGGAGAACAATCCCCGGATCATCACATACATCAGACCAATGGTGTTCACATGAGAAACTGAAGCATGCAGACCAGAGACCACATTCTAATGTCTGGACCTGATCTATAACTGAACTGCCTTCTGGCTGTGAATATTTTTTCTTGCTCTTTTACACACCAAAGAAAGCAATCTGCATTTACATTCTAGCGAAGGCAGCCTCCACTGCTCTACCAGACTCAGTACTCCACAGGTTCAATCTTTTCACTGAGAATGAGCTCAAAACAATGTATTGCTGCAGTGAACTGCAAACGCAAATAAAAGTAACACCGAGGCCTGGTGGCATTTCCTTCTTTCCCCCACTCCCTTGATGGCGGATCCTTTTACTTGCTCTGATTTCTAGAGAAGCCTGCTATGTTTTGTTTTTCCTTGGGTAATGAGCTACAGCATTTCTGTCCAATATAAATATTTTGGCAGGGCAAAAGACCCCAATCACCAAGGACAACCAGTATCCCAAGAGAAACAGTTTCAGTTCCTAGGGACTCTATTTTTAGTTATAGCACCAGGAGTCCCTGAATCAACAATGTCCTTTGACCTGTCATTCACGGCAGGGGAGGGAGCAGGGACAGAGTTGGTCTACAGGTCTGGGTGTCCAACTACTCCTATGCTACATGAAAAGACCTCACACTGTACAGAGCTGACAAACATCAGAGAAGAGTTGAATTTGGTTTTCCTCCTCTTCCCAAAGAAGGGCTGAAGAGGGAGAGAACAAGAGTGAACACGGTTGCTAAGAGTCTCAACAGACACCAACTGCTGAGATGAACCACACCAACTGCTGAGATGAACCAGATTTCTGACAGGCATGTTGGTCTGAATCTGTAAGGACATTCATTTAAAGTTTCTTCAAACTGAACCAGGGTTATAATTTTTTTCCAGTAATACAATCATCAGCTATACTGCATAGATAAAATCTGGGTAGATTGCAAGTAATTCTGTTGTTTCATGTGAGGAGGAGTAGACTCCATCTTTTACAGTCATGCTGTCACAGAGAAGACTGACACTAGAGGAAGTATACATGACTGAATGTACGTAACAGAAGCAGAGCAGTAAATTATTTTTAAATAGTTACTATTTCGGGGAGAATTTCCATTAGCATTTTGAATACTAAATCAAATCCCTTGCAAGAATTCTATCAAAGTGTAAAACAATAGCTTAGGCTTTGGTTTACAGTTCACTTCATTTTCTGTTCACAAGAGTTAAGCATCTCCTACATAGACAGCCAATTACAGAGTAAGTCCTCGATTTATACCCTCTTCATCCACAACTTAAAAGCAATTCTCAAATTCTGGCAATAGCTTGAACAAAAGCAAGAAATTAAGTTATTAATTTAAAAAATCACCTTCGGAGAGAGAAAAGGGAATTATAAAAGCAGAGTGATCGGTATTCTGAGCAAAGCAGGAAACACCACACAAGAGGCTCATTTTCAACACAAGCAACCGACAACAAAAGCAGCTGACAGCTTCTTAATAATTACACAAAACTTTTTTTTTTTTTTAATTGCCCCAAACACTTAACTTTTGCATCTTACAATGCACCACCTTTAACTTATGAAAGTAAATCACAGGTTTCTGGCCCCTTCTCTTCAGTTTGACATTGTAATACAGTTTCTGGTTTTCAAGGTGAAAGTATACACAGTACTTAGACTATGGCATCTCCGATTCTTGATGTTACAATGTGGCAAACATCAACCTGTCACTACCACCACGCAGCAAAGCTAGATCTTACTAGGAACACCCAACTATACAATTGTAAGGAGGACCTGAATGTGGAAACACACAACTAGTAAGAATCATCTCTTTCTATTCCAAGGGCTGGTCTCACAACATACTAAAGCCCCCTGCCCTTGCCAATATTTGGACAAGTACCACAGTTTAAGAACCATTAATGAACCACGAATAAAAGCTGTTATTGGCATATAGATTCTTCTATTGAGCTAGCTTGTAAATAGTAGAAAAACATCAATGGGCAATGAAGAAACTTGCTTCGTAGTTACGGAGATGCTACAGTCTCAGCCTCTACAAAGTCAGGACATAATCATGCCTCCTTAACATAATAGCAGGGATACTGTTACTACTACGAGATAAAGTCAAGATACTCAGCAGACTGAAGAACTACACATATATAAAAACATACCATCAAATAACTTTATGAAGGATTCTGATCTTAAATAATTCTGAACTGTAAGAAAAATGACACCTTTAAGAAAGAAGTCTTCTTAACAAACCCAGATTAAGGCTCAACAAATAAATTACTCCAGTATCACAGGGCAATAAGAACTAGAACTACATGTATGCTCCATAACATGCTGCTTCGATTCTCTGGAAGGTTCAACGTTATGCTACCCACAAGCACACCAGAAAAACTAAAACAAAAAACCACAGCCCTACACATAACAGCACTGCACCCCCATTTAGTCTTTTAGCAAGCAAGCCAATATATTTCACAGAAGGAAAACGCCTCGGTGCTGCCTACATGAGTACCTCTGCCCCGAAGAGTAGGAACCGTTCAGGCTTGAAAAACAAGAAGGGGTGAAAAGGAGCCAGGGGAACCCCCCGGCACCGAGGGCCTGAATGAAGCCCGGCCGCCCCCCCGAGAGCCTCCCCAGGCGGAAGCCCCCGGCCCGCCCCGCCACCTGTTTCCAGGCGAGCCTCCGGCCCGCCTCCCCCGCGCTAAATGTAACAAGAAGTTTCTCGCAGACGAGTATTTTTGTGAGGAGGACCCAAATTAGCACAGGCTGCCACAGCATGGAAATATATTTAAGAAATACAGTGTCTGTGTAAAGAGTACAAAGAACAAAGCAAAACCAAAAGGTTATGTATGCCACCCAGGCTTATCAAAATTGTCCTGAGAGCAAAATAAGCAGCCTTAAAGTTTGCTTCACTGCTCCAAGCAAAACATTAAAGACCAGTAAGGGTAGCAACAAAACTTAAAGCAGATCTCCAGCTGTATGTTGTCTCCACACCAAAGCAACTGATTTCACATACTTTTCAAGAAGGTATAATTTTTATTATAAACAACAGAGTATGTCTGATGGGTAAAGAAAGCCATGTATGCATCTAGTCGCTCTATACAGATCATCCCAAAAGCCTGAGGTATGATACCCATATCTTACCCAGATTTTGAGATGAGGTGTTGCATCTTGGAAAGGGTATTTTTGGTAGGTGGACATGCTCTAAGTTTCCAGTTTGACGTAAGTATATGTATTATCATAAAAGCTTATTTATATCCTCAAAGCTTGGGACTGATGACGTATAGGAATATAGATGTGTCTTCATTCAGTAAATATAAATGAGCTTCATACGTTCTGTAAACAAGTTTAATTCAAAATTTTTATAAAATACATCTTGTATTTACACACATACCTCATCTAAAAATATGAGTTTGTTGAATGCAAAGTTATTACAAACTATCAGAACCATTTGAGAGCTGTTTGTACATATTTCTTGCACAGCATATGCAAAAGGTGACCCTAGAGTTACTAAGATTAAAAGGTGCAAATCTGCAATTGTGTACAAAATTTGTACTATGTTAAGTGCATATCTACATTGCATATTACACATGTGCCGAGTCTGTGGAAAGGAACAGTTAAAATTGCAACTATAAATTTCACAGAACATTAGTAAAGAGGAAATTAAGGTATTTGGAGATTAAACAGGACATTCTTGCATCCTTTGAATATTTGTAAGTCATTTCAGATGCACAGGATCCATTATGGACATCTAATGAACAGCTATGCAAAAAGAAACTCAGCCTAGAGCTCTCTGACAGCCTAGTAACCTACATGTGTCCTCGCCCTTCATGTTTGTGGTGATATCAGTTAAACATGTATTCACAGGGTCTGGGTTGAGTCTTCTAATACTAGTTGGATATTCCTGTTAAAAAATAAATGTAAGTCATGAAAGAAGAGAGAAGACTAGATTATCATGCAAGATTCCAAAGCTAACATGCTTTTTTTAATACACTGTAACTTGCGGGGGTTTTTTGGGGGTGGGTTTTTTTTGGTTTTGTGGTTTTTTTTTTTTTTTTTAGAATGTGGTACAAATGCTCACAAAACACTTGCAGACAAGAACTATAAGCTGCTGGTATAATTGGTTTAGTACGACTGCAGTAATTCCACCAGAACTTCTGCAGAAGTCAAAAATTACGGGAAAAGTTGATCACTCTACTAGTTTTTCTCCTTTAATGTATTACAAGCTAGAGTATTACATTTACAATTTATATCCAGCATCAACTCTAAGTAGTTCTGTTTAAAACCAACACAAGAATCAGCCAGAAAAGCAGACTGAATAAGCTAAAGGTTTGTGGTTGAGTTTGAATTTAAATATATTTTGCATCAGTAATGACTGATAAAAATAAGTTACCAAAATGGCAAATAACACAGTCTAAAAAGCTGAAAAACTACAGTTCTGGTAAGGAAATATGTCCATTGGGGATCAAAGACAGCCTTTTCTATTACCTTGTCATGGTTAATTTTTATATACAGCATCAAAAAGAAAACCAACCAAACATGGGGAATGCTTTTTTTCCTGTCACCAAAAGAAAAAAAATATTAAGAAACTTAATATCTATTTAGCAATACTAAATACTGAAGATTGCAAATGCCTAAGTTAGTACCATGCAACGTGAACTTCAGTGGACTTCCCTTGTGAAGAAACATTACCATAAGGAGCATTATATAAGCAGTCAACACAGTACACAGGAAATATTTAACATGTCATCACGTTATTACATAATCCTCGGATAGTCAAAATTAGCAAGACTGTAATTGTTACTAAGGCTGTGATTCTGCCTTATTTAGTGGAGGGAGAATCTGGCCTTACAAACCTTTTTTATTTCTCTTTACGAGGGATTAATAGTACGGGGAGGAAAAAAATGGATGCGTGTTAAATACCATGCTATTAAAAGCAAGACAGAGCAAGATGTTGTAAAACATAGTTAGGGAAGCATTATTTTTATTTTGTCATCATAAAATAACATTGTTTAAAGATCACACAAATTTGATAGATCTTTTTTCTCCAACATTAAGCCAGCACTACAGTTGAGAAAGGTGTTCACCCGTTTCTCTGTAAATTTATACTTTTAAGTAAAATAATTTGATGCTTTATGCATTTTATTTAATTATGTCACGCAGTAAATATCTTGCTCCTTTGGTCAGAGATAGTAAATGAAGACTTCAAATGCTTCTGTCTTCAATTTTTAAAAACCCAATATACATCCTTAACCAAGGAGTATTTACGCTACACACAAGCCATAGATACAAAATACACAGTATATACATGTTTTGAAAACAAATTGGAATTTATAAAAACTCAATAGCCAAATCAAAGTAATTGAGGCACTAAATTAAAAGCAGTATCTTCATGTCTTGATTATACACACTATTCTGTGAACAATCAGGACTGTTTCATAAATATATTTTATCTACAGAATTTGCTGTGCCAAAAAAGCCAGCTGTGTTTAAGCTCAAAAGAAAAATTGCACTTTGAGATTGTTACAGTTAACTTCTCATTTTTCTCCTTGAATATAGTAATCTGGTCCTAGTGCTTTTGGCACAGGTAATGAGTTGTGGTTTTGCTACACTTTCTTATAAAACACAAGGTTCCTTTATTTTGTTCATTAAAATCTGAAGAGTCTTAAACAAACCTAGAACTTTGATACAAATCTATATAGCTACAATTGCTTCATTAAATAATATACACAAATATGCTCTTCGATCTTAAAACATCTTCACAACTGGATACAAAACAGTCACTTGTATTATCTCCAGTCTCCTTAATCTTATGCATTATCAGTCTGCAAGTGAATAAAATACAGTTTCTGGCCACATCTTGCACTAGATCACACCCCAGTGTACAAGGACAGAAAATAAATGTATAATAAAAAGATTGGATAAATTAGGAGGGGTTTCTTGGTCTTGAATTCTTCTCCAACTAGTAATGATGCAGCACTGTATGCAGCCCAAAAGACTCCAAACAACTGAAAAAGAAGAACAAGAGTCTTAGCTGACACCACAAGAAAATCTCTCCAAATACCAAGATAAAAATCAGTTGTTCTCTCAATATAATTAAAAAGAAACCCCCCCCAAGTAATTTTGCAGGAAGAACTACACACATGCACAAAAAATACTATGCCTTTTCATTTAAGTTTAGAGAAATATTTAACAAATAGGCATGTTATTTTCATTTGAGACATTTTTACTGAAGTGAGCAGCTAAGGATCTACATCTATTCTCTTATGTAAGACATACAGATACCATTAAGCAAGCCGTAAGCTTACATACACTGATAATTTGAAGCTTCACTGAATTAATAAGCTTTCTTTCTACCTTAGCTGTCCCCAACTGTTAACCCCTCCCTTTCTTTAAGCAAAAGGGTTGATATACTTGACTCTTCCTCCTACAATATATACCAGAGAGTTAAATTACCATTTTTAATTTCAGGATTCATCTGGCTCTCAAACTTTTCTTTAATTATGGTGCCCCCGCCTCAAGTTAATTGAACCTCATATTCCTATTCCTTTCAGGTACAGTGAGAAGCCTGCCAAAATACAATCTGTATTAAAAACTATATTGCTTAGTAAGTTAAGAAAGATCCAGTTTAAGAGACTACTAGAAAATAACATTACCTATGAATATCCACTATGTTATATGAAGTTAGCATACCTACTTTAAAAAAAAAAAAAAAAAGTCTTGAGGTCAGTGAACTTGACTCAAGCAAACAAGGTTATAGCAAAAAGTAACCAGATATTATTAACCTCTAGCAGCACCTTGAATATTAATAAAAAAAGAAAAATATTCAAAACTGAGTGGCTTGTAAAAACACTGTAATCTTCTGCAAAACATGACATGAAAGAAGGCAGACATAACAGGACTCTACCAAAGAACTTCTTCCACAGTTCTGTCAGAGAAGCTGAAGCCCCTTAAGGGATTATGGGGCTCATTCAGTTGAAAAAAAAACTCAAACCAACCACCAAACAAAAAACTCAAAAAAACCTAACCACCAAAAAAAGGTGCACATGATTGCATACTTCTCTTTTTGCTGCCTAACCCAGGACTGCATAGGTGGACAAGAAGGACCATCAAGATCAGGTCTGAACTCCCTAAGATACATTAGGAAAATAGCAGCAATTAAAACAAATGAGGTGCATTACTAAAATAGTTTACTTTCCTGATTTCAACTGGAAAAAAAACCTGACTGGAACAGCATTATTTCACTGTGAGATTCCCAACTTCAGGACTGTGAAAGATTTCCCCAAGCACAGAGCTCTCACTCAAACTGTAAGTAGTAATGCTTGTCACAGCGTAAGTAGTTTTGGCCATATGGGGCTCATCCTGCATTTTTATACTAATGCAAAGGTAAGAACCTTGCACAGATTCACCCTGAAGTTAATGTAAGACTGTCAGCAGTAATCAAGTAACTGAGGTTTCATTAACATATATTTATTTTCAAGTTATATATTACTTAACTGGGAAGTTAATGATTTGCTTTCTGACTGTATCACTTAATAGTAATTGCAAGTTATTGAATCACAAACACAGCAATTTTGTTATCGCACACTTTACTTTTACTTCAATTATACTGGTTACCAGCAAGCTAAAAGGACAGAAAATCAATCAAATCAACAGAAGAACAACTCAAAAAGCATACAGTTTCACTAGTAAGAGAATTTTCTCAGTCAACCTTTCCAGAAGTTCAGCAATAACTTCAAAGGCTGCCTAAAAGGGTTTTAAGCAGTACTGGAAATGTTCAAGGATGTAAGGTAGTTCTGGGATCTATCAGGGAACGTTGCTAGCTTCATAAAAGCACATGGTATCAGGCAAGTTATTCTTGCTTTGTGCCTTACATTCCACATCTGTAAAACCAGAACAAGACTTACCTTCTCTGCAAAGGCTATTGAGAGCTTTGTACTGCTACTGCTATGGGTATCTCAGAACAATGACTAAAGTCCTATTCATGCTGCAGTAACTAAAAATAAACTCGATGATGGGGGAACGGATAGGAGAGCTTATTTTCAGATTCTTCATTTTGAGGTTTAATTATGCATCCTCTTCTCAAAATGATAATCCTATTTATTTTTAATGCAACTATTATAGCACAGTGAAATACTTTTACAGAACCTAACCTGATAACACCAGGTGTTGTTATAGCAACAGCACCGTATATCTCCAAGTACTCAAAAAAAGCATTTAAAACAGAATTCGTTTAGCAGTCGTGTCCACCATGCTAACCAAAAAGATCACAGAGCTCACATTGTAGTTCTCAATATTCTGACACATTGTTATGCTGTCCTGAAGAAATTAATACTTGAAGTGTTAGGAAAGTGACTTAAAAATAACTGCAAACAATCCTCAATAGATGATACTGAACTTACTTTTATTAGGGTAGAAACAACTTCAAATGATCCAACCACCAAAAGTACAGGTGCTATGACAATGAGGGGAAGTAGGGAATATCCTATCACACCAAGAACTTGGCCATAAGCAACCTGAAATTTTCAAGCACATAAAAACAAGCTTTGTAGTACTCAATCTTTGTCACCAAATGCAATTTGATCTTGTTGGAACAGTATGAATAACAGTAATAATGAGCTAGATATTAATGACATTTCAGCTAAAGGAAGCTTGCTAGGATGAAAATTGGTTTTGTATGCTACCCCCTAGAATTTTGTAATTAATCATTCAGTTCTCTTAGAAACATTTTTTTTAACACTTTAAATGACAATTTTATTACTTTCATGGGAAGTATTTACACAGGTTAAAATATATAATTTCACCCCTCACATTTTTATGTTCTGCCTTAAGTGGTGCTCAACTGCCACTCTCCATGGAGTGTGCATACAATACCCAGGAGCACAGAACTAGAAGAGACTTCTCAGGCTGTAGTCCAGACTGCCACAAGCAGCAAAGATTAATTTTCTGCATTAACATATTCATATCTATTATAAATAAATAATATACATGAATACTTGTGGCATCAGTGGAAGACCTAGAACCTGATCCCTCTAAGGCACAGAAGTATTCTGATTTCCAGCTTAAATGATTAATATCTTAAACAGATTTGTTCAAAGTATTTCCATAACTGTGTTCAGCTTCACGTGGACTGAAGTGTCTGATTTTCCCCTACTGCTATTTGAAATGTTCCTGGCCCAGCTGGGCTTTTTGGATTTAACAGGAAAAATAGCAGCAAGACAAGTGACCATCTTGCAAGCAATCTCTGTAGCCACTGATCCTTCACAGTGAATTGCTCAGACCTATACTTTTTCCCCAGTTTACACATTCTGATAATTTCACATTTTGAGCCACAAAACAGATTGATTTAAGGGTATCTGGATTATGCTGGTACGCAGAAATACCATGTGATCACATTTCTAAAAGCTTTTGCTTTCCAAACAATGTTCACACAAGAAGACTCTAGCAATTATGATAAAAAGAAAATGTAAAAAAATTTAAAGTAAGTGTAAATAATGTAGGAAGTCTGCAGCACAAGTTCATCATTAATGCAAGATCCATAGTAAATATAAAAATCAAGTATCACTGAATATTTAGTTCTTCACAACACAGTTCAATGCATTTTATGCTGCAGAGACATTTTAAGAAGTTTTTACCCTCCTGACTGTCCATTGTAGCTGTCGGTGGGCCTCTGCTCTAAGTCATTTGTTGTTTACACCTGAATCTCTTAGTGACTCAATCTGTAGACAGCTCAGACAGCTATTCCAACCCTGCTGGTGCAAGCAGCTGGAAGGAGGGATGTAGGCCAGAACTTCAACTGGCTTTGCAGTTGAAGAACATGCGCTGACTGTCATCCTTTAATGGGTTTGAACTGCATCAGACCAGGGATGAAAACAAACCCTGGTAGGTGCTCTACCCACAAGGGCATTATACAACTGCTGTTAGCCCCATTAAAAAAAAAAAAAAATAAAATAAAGAGCAGTGCAAGAGCAGTGCAAAGGAGGAGAAAGGGTCCCGTTTAGCTCAGTGACCAAAAAAATTTAAATAACTCGAAGATGGACTTCAGTTCTGAATCACAGGCACCTCTTAGAATGTCTGGGATTCAAGTACAAATTTCCAGATTATCACATCCAACATGCCATCCACAGCACAAAAGATTAGCTGGCCACCTCTGTATTTTAGATTTGGAGGCCAAGAACCTGAAATGTAGACATTACACTTATCAACTGCATCCAATCTTAGTGGGCTACAAAGTCCAAAGCCAAGCACCAAGGAAACCCAGCTACTAATGAAAAATGTACCAAGAGACTTCACATTACCTCCCTCTATGTCCTTTTTGCATACAGGTACTTACTTCTCCTCCAAGAACCCTGGCCAATAAGAAAATTGTCAAGGATCCAAATATCCAAATAGTTATAATCCAAGAAACAACCTTGAGAGATAAAGAACAATTCATTTTTATTAATAATTTTCATTGTGAGAAAGAAAAACTCATTTCTATTAGTAACTTTCATGGGAGTCAAGGAATTTATTATGCAAAACTGAGTTCCAAAGTATGGCAAGAATAGTTTTACTTAGTATCACAATTCAACTTGAGAATAAAATTCAGAGGTTACATTTACAGAAGCACATTAATGTTAATTTTAGTGCACATGGAAAGCACATGCAATGTGTTTTGCAAGTATTGTAATATTGTAGCAGACTAGGAAGAGTTTAGTTAAAACCAAAGCTAGGACTGCTCTAGCTAAATGTCTTCACATCCTGCCTATTACAAACTGGGGGGGTCAGACAGTTTTTAGAAGTCGGCCCAACAAGGGATTGGAATTCTGTTTCTTTCATCCATAAAGATGCCACTTTATTCTTTACTCAAACTGAAAATGCTCAGAAGACGTGGGACTTTAACTTTCAGTAGAACTCAATGATGATTACAACTTAATAAACAGCCCCAGACTCCTGAGACAGTGTCTGTCATTATATTTTCTTGCTTCTTTCACTGCTCTGCACTTAAACTGAAGAAGAAATCTTAAAATCATTCTCCAGATTACCAGAACCTTCAGAGTAACTTAGATGCTCTTGGAGTTGAGACACTGGGAGGATTAGAAGTGAAGCTCTCCCTTCTGACATACTTTTTTAGAAGAAAACAACATCAGTCCTGTCTGTATTTCCAAACGTACAATGACTGAACTTAAAAATTAAGTTAGTATTCAATATTTTGCTTAATTAAGAGTTCCAGATTCCCAGATGAATCAAGTAGAGGATAGATAAAAAACACAGCACCACTTTAAAAAAAAAAAAAAAGATAATGTACTGGCTTTGTGCTATTTGTGAAAATAGCACATGGCCTCCTTCTACTTCCTTCTTTTAGACAGTGGAGGAAAGCAGAGAACCAGATTAAAGTCTTAGAGCAGGAATGCTCATCTCTTTCCAGCTTACAGCCACCCACCATTCAGTTCATCTAGTCCAGCTGATGTCAGTCATCCTGTTGCCAGCTACTCACTTTCCCTCCCTCACACATCTACAGCACTCTTACATATCACTATGGTACATCTACTGCTCCGAAGAAGCATCAGACCTACTGTTCACATACAGTAGGTGTACAAACTGCAGAAGGGCGTTCATCTGCCATGGGATCAAGGAATGGTCCTTGCTTTGCCTAGGAGACAGCTAAGTGGTCCACCGAGAAGATTTTCTCTAACCATTCACAAAAATCTTTGTATAAGCCTGTTCTGCTACTTTACATATGGCTTATTGCTATACTACATTGTATTCAAAACAACTGTAACTACACATATAAAGATTTCTGAAACAGGATCACCTAAGCCCACACTGAAATTGTGACTATAAATGATACCACTTCTCTCTTTCAATCTGAACGTAAAGAAAAAAGCTAATGGTGTTTATGGAGGCCAACTATATATGCATAATGCCTCCAAATAGCTATTTGCCCCGGAGTTGAAAAGAAATTGTGGAAAAAGTCTATTGACCAGAGGAAGTTACTTGATTGTAATTGAGCAGGAAGGACAAAATAGCAAATGGACTAAATATACCAGATAACAGCAATAATATAGTACGAATTAAACAAGTAGCTTTATTTGTCAGGAAATTAAAATTCATGGCATCCAAATGTTCTTCAGTAACACTTTTTAGTAATAAAAAGTACGTTAACAAAAGGTCACAACTAAAATGGAAAGATTCACTTATATGACTATAGAGCCATTAGTATCAATCTGTTTCCTCTAGAAACCAAATCTTTCCTTTGTTTTACTGTATAAAAACAAACCTGACATTTCATCATGATTAATTTAACCGTGGGCTATTTAATACATTTCTTACTGCTGTCTTTCCACCTATCCACTTGAAAAACAGCATTTGAAAAGCCCCACATTAGTATGTAAAGGAAAGACTTTCTACCTACATAAGAATGCTAATTGCTTAGCAATCATGTTCCCAAATTTAGTTCAGATTTCTTTTTAGGTTTAAGGCTCATACGTACCTTAAATTGTCCATATAAAGAAATCATTGAGAAGAAGAGAACAACTGCCAGAGGACCCCAAAAGTCTGGATTGTCTCTTACTACCTGCCTATTAAACCCAAGAGATGGCATAGGCATCAACACACATCGAATTTTGTAGTAAATATCCTTTAGATCAATGTCAAGTTCTTCCCTGAAATTGTAAAGCAAGAGAGCATTACTACACACCACAGTAATGAATAATGAACTAGATCATAAAAAAATAAGTGCGGGGGCAAACAGTAGGCTTCTAGAGCAAGCCCCCCATCTCCCATAAGCCTTTCTGAATCTGTGACTAGCAAAGGCACAGTTTGTCCACAACAAAGCAACACCATATCTGCATCCCACACTCAGTCACTGGTGTGACACAGATATGTTTAATTGTTCAAAAATCAATTACATGACTGAGAATAGAAAACATACACGGCATACCCTGACAGCCTACAATAAGACAGTAGATCTATTTTCTGACATGCAGGAACACATGACACATGCATACCATTGTAACTACTTAAGAGTCAAAGACATGCACACACAAAAGTAGGATGTCTGTGTATTCCTATGCTAAGCAATATGCCATGGGCACATTTATTATGGAAACATTTTATTTCAAATTCTACAAGAAAGAATAGCTTTAGACTCACTAATCCTAAACCATTCAAAATACACCAGGTAGAAACAATTTTTTAAAATAAAATTACTTTCATTTGCATCAACAACAGTAGTTTTCAGTTGACCAGTTTATGCCAATTGTTTAATTATTGGCTTGTTTCTAATATGGGTAAAAATAAATAAAAGCCATTAAACTAGCAATAAATTCTATCTACAGTTCTTGCCCTTCTCTGTCTTCTCCACTCCTTGCTACAAACTATCTGTCAGCAGCTACAAATTGACCAGAAGATTCTTTTGCAGAGGAGACTGAACTGGTACATCTTGCCCTGATTGTCCTACCATGGGAAGGAACCAGAGTTTCCAAGTAATGGGCAATTCCACCTCTTTAAGTTATGCATGGAACCTTAAGACAGAACTGTATGCTAGTGTCTTCCCTATGCAGTCATGACTGAGGAGCCCTGAAGAGCTGCAAGAGACTTCTGGCAGATATCCCTCTGCTCTACATTTAACAGCACAATGGAGAAAAATGTAGAATCATATACTAAGGTGGTCTATGAAGGTTTTGTACAAAGCTTTGATTTATGGCTTTCTCAGGATTCACCACAATTTCTTTTCTTAAAAAAAAAATTAAGTACTGCTCAGTGAGTCTCTCAAGGCACTTTCAGGATTGCTATTACTGAAGCTATTTCAGAATTGGTATTACTAACCTGTGACTAAATAACAAAAATTGTTAACACATCCCTGAAGCTAAGGAGTAGACTAAGAAGCATCTGTTTTCCTCCATTTATCTGAATAGGATGCAGCATTCCTGTATTTTACTGTGAAGACTGTGTAACCCAAATACTTCCTGTCTGGAAAAAATTCTTTGTCATCTCCTAGGGCTTCTGACAGTTTCTCATGTGAATAAACTGTCTTTCACATGAAGCTGACAGTTACCCCACCTAAGGTGAGGGTAGCTGTAACAGGAAACAAGCGTCTGGAGTAAGGCTGCCCATTGAGGAAAAAAAAAAATCTCACTCTATTGAACAAAACAATCGCACAGTAGCACTGCACCAGTGAACTTCTCTTAGCTGGCTGCTATTCTTTAAATCCTTAACAGGATTCAGGTTGCAAGGCTTCATTACAGTACATGTCCTGGGAACAATTAGAACTACATAAAAACTGGTGCATGACAGCCAGATTAAGGCCTTCTCTGTTAGGGTGATAATATTTATCCTGTTTGCCACAAACTGTTAATTTCCCTGGCGTGTTGTCCTCACTTCCAGCAATCGGCAGCTTAGAACATCTACCTGTCTTTGAATCATAAACTTGGGTTTTGTGGTATAAAAAGTTAAACAAGGGGGAATTCATATGCTGTCACCTCAGTATACCATTCTATTTCTTAATTAAAAGGTAGAGGTTTACAGAACACAAGGAGCTATTTCTGCACACTCTAAAGTACTTTTCAAGTAGCAGTTTCATTATTAAGCTCTTCACACTTCAGTTCTCTCCCAGCACTCTCATGCGAGTTCTCTGGAGTACTCTCCCGCTCACTCCATTTTTTTTAAAGTATCATTATATTTAATACACAGAGCAAAACACAGAGATAATGAGAATGAAGTTACTTAAGTGCCGAACAAGGACTAAGACCCAGCCTGCCTGACTCGCAATGTTGTAAACTTAAAATACAAACTTTCTTCAGTCAACCACGTTTCTGTAAACAGGAGGGATGCAGAGATTTTCAATCTTAAGGACATTTTTGTCTTTCAACACTAACACACTTTTAATCTAGCTTTACAGTGTAAAATAGCATCAAAGATTACAAAGTTTGTACTACCTTACTTCTAGCATTCCTACTGTAATAAGCATTATTCACAATACTCAGAGTAACAGACAGAATTTCCTTAAGATTTAAGGTGGATCTTTCCAAGGGAATGTCTGAGCCTCTGATTCTCTGACAGCATTAAGAAGCTCACAACATCAGGCAAAAGGTAGAAATAATAAAATCTAAATTTTTAAACCATTACAAGAACAACAGATGAGAGCAGAAAAGCCACAAAAGCTTTATACGTATAGAGATTAATAAAACTGGATTTTACTCCCTCCTTCCTTCCTCCCCTGCAGTGAGTAACAAGGCTCTCTTTTACACTAAAAATAAAACCCATAATGAGAAACATGTTTTCATTCCTGCAGAAAACACTCATTGATCAAGTAATTTGTCAAACAGAATTCTAGTGACAGCAAAAGGCTGTGGGACAACATGAGGGGCTACAGGTTGTTTGTTTTTCCTACACAGCTAATAAAGCTAGATACCCCAAAATAATTATATGACATACAGGAGTGGCTTGTTATCTTCTGGGTCATCATCTTCCACTTCCAAAAGCCAGCCATACCCTCTCTGTCTTAGGAACGTAGTTGCAGTAGATTCTTTGATGAATTCTCCTCCAAGATTTAGCTTAACATCTGGAGTTGTTATGGAGCCACTAAGATCTTAGAGAAAAAGGGAGAGAAAGATAAAACTTTTTAAGTCTTGCCAAAAGTAATTTGATTTCAAAAGTGCTGGAAGATAAACAACAGACATCTAAACCTACAGTATGTGCTACCATGTGCTACCATGGCATATTCAAAGTTAAAAAATAAAATTATACTTTAACAGATACATAATTTGAAAGGGTACTTCTGGTTTTAATGCAATAGTAACTGTTGGTTTAGGTCTCAAATTACCAAGTTTTATCTTCTAGGTGTAACTCTTGATGACACAGTGTTGGTATGAATGAAAGGTTTCAACTTGTGCTTTATCATTAAGCATTCAAAGCCATAAAAGGAGTTAACTAATGAAAGTCTCATAATACTGTAAATTGTGGATTATTTACAATTTTTTTGCTGAACACACTATACCTGTTTCAGAGCCTATTTCTGCACAGGCGTATTGTTTCAGCCAAAACCATTCTCTGCTTTTACGCCCAGTTTTTAATGAAAGGAAAACATTTGTAGGTGTTTTCATTTGTAGTCTGCCTTTAATACAGGTTAAAATGTTAGAAAAAGAAAACTATCAGATATCCTTAGGCTCCAGCCAGTAAGAGGAGACACAAGGAGTTCTGTTCAATATACTATGATTTTGCTCTGCCACTGTACTACATAAAACACGAGCAATTTATGTATATTCTGGCTTTGTCAGTCACCAATAAATATTAATTTTATACTCACATTGTATCCAGTTATACAAAAATATATAAAATACAAAATATATAAATATATAAAATACAAAATTTTCTGAAACATATGGAAAATATATAAAGCAACTTGAAGAAAGAAGAAATGTAGAAGAGGAGAATAATTATTCATTTAGGAAATCATGGATTTCCATTATTTGCTAAAAAGGAAAAAATCCAAACAGAAACATGTAAAATTTCTGTGCAAGTCTTATTACAAATATATTGAGGGACAAAACCTGTCTCCTCATCCAACATCTTTTCACTTCACAAAAGAAAAATGTTATTTTGCTTTCCACCGTTGTGTGTTCTGCACATAAAAAAGCTGCTAGGCACAAGTTTCCCAAAACACCTAGCTATAGCCAAGTATTTCTGAAACACATACAGAGGCAAGTCAGGACACATTTGTAGATTTCTATCAAAATGCAACATGATTTTATAGAAACAAAACTTATAGAGTGACAGAATCTTACAGTTTTCAGCTGGCATACCTGAAGTGTTCACTGATCACTCAGTGTCACAATTTAACACAATTCTCTTTCCCAAATCAGCTTGCCAGGCCACTAAAGCTTAACTTTAAGATTCTCCATAAATGTTTTTCAACCATTTCATAATCATGAGAGTTAATGATCCATTGCTTTGATTCTTGGAACACCATATGCACAAGATCCTTGTAAAGATCACTGTAACTTAAAGAAGAAATTTCTCTTTGCTCCTGTCAGAATCAGCACACATATGCTGTTCTCACCAGACACAAGTAAAGCCTTCTTCTGCTGTTTACAGAGGGAAGAAAAAAGCAAAATGTATTCTAAATGCCTGGGCATCGAGGCAGAGAAAGCCTCAAAGTTTTCTACTACCACTGGGACCCTTTTGTAATTTAAAAATATTTGCTTATGCTATAATATAACACTTCTTTGCAAGGAGAGGTCCTTGCTATTATTCTATGTGCACAAATGTGGCTGTCTAAACAAGCAAATATTAACAGTCCAATCAGATATTTATTTCTCCTTTCTCAGTGACCACTGACAATCCATCCTGAGACAGGGAAACTTCTACACAAGTCTTATTTACTAAGATTCCTTCTAGCAGTCAACGGTTGGTGAATACCTACAACCACACTTTTTTATCACGAAGCCAAGGGACATAAAGCTGCAGAAACCAAGGAAAAAAGCCCACCACCTCCTCTTCTGTAAACTGCAGGCCAACTGAGCGCTGAAGAATCTGCCAAGAATTGATGGTTCTTATGCTTGCCAGTGAGAGCCAGGGTGCCTTCAGGCTGAACACCACATAAGCAAAACTGAGGTATCTCACATGCCCGATTTCAACCAGGCATTGTGGAAAACCAGCTTTCAAAACAGTCTTTGCTCTCAATTTTGAGCAAGCACTACAAGAGGTAAAAAACCTCCCCAAACAGTCTGTTCTTTATAGGGTATCTGTCCACTTAACTGAGAACACCTCTCCAGCATTATTTCTCACAAACAGATCCTACCTCTCATGAAAATAAGACAGGAAATAAAACAGCTTATACTTTTACTTTTCATATGGATAAGATTTGGGAAACAAATAGAAATTAGACTGCCATGTGTAGTATTTTAATTTAAAAATATCAAGCTGTTTATGTTTTTGTTAGGACAGGACTATGTAGCACTTTGCAGACAGATCACACTTTGGTTGTGTTCACAGAGAACACCAAGCTGAGTCTAATGCAACAGATCCCACTGGAAAGGTGGCTGTATTGGACTGGGTTCAGCATTGGTCAACAAATACTTCCACAGGGAATTCTGAGAGCTATTATTCAGAACTACTTGGATCCTTTTTCAGGAAAAGGTGGAAAACAGAACAAACAAAAACAACAACAAAAAACCACAGTTGAGACTGTACCTGTCACGACTGGGAAGTTCACCAAAGAACAGGTGTCCTACAGTAGTTTTTCCACTCAGTAGCTCTTTTCCAGGGTAAGGCACGAGTCACGATTTACATGTTTGCCTACCCCTATTCAGAATTACAACAGTAACTAAATACACATAAAGTAGAATGCTAGCTATTTAAGTGGGTAGAGCCCTAAAGATCATTCTCCATCAAAATAAGTTAGCACGACATTCCCTCATGTTCCTTTCCATAGTCTTAAGGCAGATCTTCATGGCATGCTGGTACACCACAGCTATTTGGGCAGCAGGCAGGCAGTGGGCCACACTTCCTTCACACCCTAACCGACATACAGGACTTCTTTTTCCCCCCTCATTACTGCGCTGAAATGAGACACGGCAGAGACTCCGGCACAGCATTACAGCAAATGCGAACACCGCGTACAGCCTTCAACACACACCGGGCCGCGCTACCGGCCAGGTGGGAAAGAGGGGCGCTCTGTGACGGCACTTGTCGCGGTTACGCCAGGCCGCCGCCGGGCACAACCTCGGCTACGGCTCGGAGAGAACCTGAGGCACGGCGCAGCACGGCGGGCTCTGTCGCTCCCGCCG